CATTGCTCCTGCTAACTCCTTTGTTGGCACCCCATACTGGTAAGCTGGCAGAATTGAGATTTTGTGTAATTAGAAAGAGTGAAGGTGTGGCTGGAGAGGTAGTGAGAGTGTAGATATCCATTTGAGACATCCCAGTTCTTTGAACAAGAAGAAATTTGATAATTAGACATTTGGGTTCCCTGGATTTTGCAAAGAGTCCCAGTGTAGTTTGAACAACAGTTGATTCTAAAAAAAATAATTAAGAAGTCTTCTCCTTTTATAGGTCAAAGATTGGAGGGTGTAATTTAAGAGTATTCCAGTATTGGAGGGAGGACTTTAAGGGTGAACTTTAAGGGTCATGTTTTAGAATCTCATTTCAAGAAGTAATGGGTCTAAGAAAATGAAATACTACATTTTTTGCACTATAAGACACTCCGGACTATAAGAAGCACCCAGCTTTTTGGGAGGAAAACAAGAAAAAAAAGATCTGTCTCTCAGCAATTTCCCTCCTTGCAGCAAACTGCAAACAACCTAGTCAGTTTCAGCACAGCCTGATTTAGTATGAGCAGCTGATTGGCAGTTGGATCTGCTTCCCTGAATACCCCCAATCAGCTGTTCCAGACTGTGTGGATTGCTGCCGCTGCCTATCACTACTGCCGTCTATCGCTGCCTCGGTGCACCTCATTTTTTGGGTTCTGCAAGCTACATTTTTGACCTGTTCTAGGCGGCGGCAATTAATATATGTATATTAAATACATAATACACATTCATGTATTTAATAATTTCCCCCCTTTGATTAATTAGTAATATTGAAAATTACTTTGTGTCCAGGGTCTATGTTCAGGGTCAGGCATCTTTGATGCAACAATCTTCCAGGCTTCATGTAACAATGTGAGCCATTACTAAGACACAATGCATGATTGCTTTATCTTGCGCTCTCTTTCTAGGATGGCTCCAGAGGTGATTCTAGCCATGGATGAGGGGCAGTATGATGGCAAGGTGGATGTCTGGTCACTTGGCATCACTTGCATTGAACTTGGTATGGAATGAGCTACTTGCCTTATAAGGTTGGAGTTAATTGGGGGGATGATGTGGAAGAGGGCTTTCTGCAAAACCACAAATACCACTGCTAACATTACTGTCCTTGTATCTTTAGCGGAACGCAAACCACCCCTCTTTAACATGAATGCTATGAGTGCCTTATACCACATCGCCCAGAATGATTCACCACTGCTGCAATCTAGTCACTGGTAAGGAAAACTCCAGAAATGACTTTAAGCTTGCAAAAAAGAGAGGTTTATAGATTCAAATGAATCCCTGACTTTCTTCCCTGCTTTCTTCAGGTCTGAATATTTCCGAAATTTTGTGGATTCATGCCTGCAGAAGATCCCCCAGGACCGTCCAACCTCTGATGTGCTGCTTAAGGTATCTCCCACCCATTTTCACTCCGGAAAGATTCCTCTCCCCCCCCCAAAAAAAAAATAAATAAATCCCCAGCTCACAATGCCTGTAGCCGTGGAAGTTGCATTTTATCCCATCTGGGATCAAAAGAAGAAGTTAAAGTAAAGATAAGAACACTAGGTATTTAAATTAGAAGAATGTGTTAAGGGAAATGTTAGGATCAGGAACCAGTTATATGAAAAATGTTGGTTCAGATGTTTCTACGAAAACACCCTAATAAATAATACTCTTCATCATTTATTCCCCACAGACCCATGATAAATACTGAATCTTCCCACTGGATTCATAGAATTTAGAATTCTGTGTTGAAAGTGTACACCTAGTGTTGATTTTAGTTGGCTTTTTTCCTTATTAAGTTGTTGATAAGCAATGAGTTATTCTGACTTCCAAAGTATTTGAGTTTCTCTCACTTTCTGTTCCTAAGTGGACTTGAGTAACCATTACATGTTAAATCTAGGTTTACTCAAGTTAAGTTGAAAATGATTATTCATTGTTGTTAAAAGAATATAGTTATTAGGTCCTAAAAAATCTCAGTGGTTGTTATCCAACTCTTGAGAATAGTGGAAAAGGATTCCTCAGATCACAAATTCTAAGAGCTCGGTGGATAACTTTGCAGAACTTTTGCAGACCTGCTTCCTTGGTTTCATGCTAGTTCTTCCTGTGACTCCACAGCATCGCTTTCTCTTGAGGGAGCGACCCCAGACGGTTATTATGGACCTGATTCAGAGGACCAAGGATGCAGTGAGGGAGCTTGACAATCTGCAGTACCGCAAGATGAAGAAAATCCTCTTCCAGGAAGCTCAGAATGGTCCAAATGCGGAGGCACCAGAAGAGGAAGAGGTTTGTTGTTGCTTTCCCACTTTCTCTGATTCAGTTCTCCCTGACTTTCTTGGACTTTGGCTCACATAATTCTCTCACCATCATGAGAGTAACAGTGCAGGAAGCATCCTTACTCGAAATCATTTCCTATACACACACATAGTCTTTGTCTCTGTCTCTGTCTCTCTCCCCTCTCCCCAGCTCTCTCTGCTGTTGTTTGCAGTATCACCTTTCTCATTTAATCCTCCTTTGCTGTTTCAGGAAGTAGAGCAGTTTCTTCACCGGACAGGAACCATCAATAGCATGGAGAGCAGCCACTCCGTACCCAGTATGTCCATTAGTGCCAGCAGTCAGAGCAGCAGCGTGAACAGCCTGGCCGATGCCTCAGATGATGATGACGGGGCTGAGATTGCCATGATGCAGGAAGGCGAGCACACCGTCACCTCCAATAGTTCCGTCATCCACCGTCTGCCGGTATAGAACTCAGTGTGCTTCTGCAAGAGCAGTCAAATGTCAATTTCAGAATAAAGCGAAGGTTGGGAAACTTTGTGGAATATTTTCTAGCATGTGATGTAAGCCTTCCTGCAAATCAGCAATAAGGATATGGGAATCCATTTTCTTGGTAGAGAAAATGGAAGTGGGGGTGGGGGTGCAGGAAAGGAGAGAGAAGCATGCTGATGATCACGGAATTGGATTCCAGTCGATCATTACATCCTACTTGCTTCCGTATATTGAGTAACTTAGACATGGGTGGGTACACTTTTCCATTCTCCTTTGCTTTATTTTTTTGGTGGGGGGAGGGTATCAGTTCTTCTCTAGACTAGTCTTCCCTAGCTGTCTACATTTCTTGGGATTGCAGCTAAATTTCTACATACTTTGGAAACAACAGTTGGAGGAAACCCAACTAGATTACAAATGTGTAGTCTGTTATGTTTAATCTGGTCTATCCATGATCTTTCTTTATGCTTAAGACTGGAAACATAACTGATGTTGAAGCCTCAACCCAGGTTTCCTCAACATGGTACAGATGTTCATCTGATATACCCCCCAGTTGCTTAGAATTCTAGGAATTACTGCCATAACATGCCTGGATTGGTGTCAAGCTTGGAAGATTGCCTTAGGGACTATATTACTTTAAATTTCCAAAATCTTGGAACTCCTTCTATATAGTACATTCTATAACAGCTTGTGGTCCTGCTCCACTGTATTTTCACAGTTCTTCCTAAAACTGGCTAATCCTAAATTACTCCTAGGAGTGCCGTTTGATCTGCCAACTCTACATTCTGTTTGTGCCTTTTAAAGGAAAACTTGCAGAGGCAATGTTAGAAGCTAAGGCATAACTTCTTATGTGCATTTTAATGCTTTTCAGGGCCATGACAATCTGTATGATGATCCCTACCAGCCGGAAGTGGAGTCCCAGAGCTCATCGTCAGCTGCCCGACGTCGTGCCTACTGCCGTAACCGAGATCACTTTGCCACCATTCGTACGGCTTCTCTGGTGAGGGGAGAAACTTGCTTATATATTTTTTTAAAAAAA